AATCCCACTAATTTCACAAGATAAAAATGAGATTTTGTACCAGTGGCATTTTATATTAGAAAACATGAGCCTGCGTGGTGGGGTGGAAAACGGTGCCTCGGTGAGAGAGCCTCTCTGACCATGTTGCGTGCCAAACTAATGTTTTGTGCCTGTTCCCTCCCTTCCTTGCAGGTGCACGGGACATCCTCATCGTCGGTAAGTTTTATTAAGGGTTGGCTGAAGATTGCTAGTATCTTTGAATCCTAAGTATTCCCTTACACTAAATAAGATGTAAAAGGATAGATCACAATACCTGTTTTGCAAATTCAGTTACAAAGAAAATGAAGATGTGGAGATGGTGACGTGAGGACACAGGTATCCGGGCTTGCATTTGAAGGAAGGATCCTTCATTGGGGTTCTTGGCACCATTACAAATGAATACTCATTCTTCAATGTCCATGGTTCTTTATTTTAATGTCACTTCTGCTCAGTTGGAGGAGCTCCGGTTTCCTAGTGGTCGGCCGCCGGGCTGTGATCTGCACATTTAGCAGTTCATGGTAGAAAGAGATCCCCAGCAGCCCTTAATAATAACCTTAAGAGTAGACTGTTCATCTATATTAAACCTGGAATAGAAGAGCAATCTATTGCTGTGTGTATTTAAAAAATAATGTCTCCTGCTTTAAAAAAGCTCACAGTCACCTCTAATGAGACAAGACATTAAGAATGAGTTTAAAGCCCCACGGTTATATGTTCCATGCATTTAATGCCCTGGCTTTCCCTCCGTAGGTATTATCTTTAGTGTGATCTTCTTTCTTGTATTCATCGTTGTTCTCTACTGGATAATTCTACAGCGCAAAAAAGGGTAAGTTCAACCGATTCTTCTGGAAAATATTCATAACTGTAACAGATGAAAGAAAATAAAACCTAAACAATAATAATCACAAAGCCCACTAATACATAAATTGATGTGAAAAGAATTATCCTTGGCATACATTATGGAGAGATATACACAATGTCTGTTTTCTTGTTAATCAACTGTAGGGTCAAATTCCACCTAACTTTTGGTTTGTTTGAACCACATATTTAAGCTCCTTTCCTCATATTTGTCATGCTAAGAAATAAGAAACACTTGGTAACTAACTCTTTAATTAAAAGTATTTCCTTAGAAATTATTGCTTTGGCTATTGCTTACCTAACCTAAATAGCCTCAGGCTGTTCATCTTTTTGTAAAGTGTTTGCTATCTCCTAAAACACACCTTGATTTTTGTTTTTTCCCTCACATTGTCTAAAAGGGTAGTGTCCATGGCACAGCCATTCTTTCTCTGCCCAGTGGAAACCAGGGATGTGCCAAGGAAAAAGATCATGGTCTGTGTTAGTCTGAGTAGACTAGAGAAACAAATCCAGAGACACTCGTGTGCGTAAGGGAGAACTTTTTAACACACAGCAATTGTACATTAAGAAAACATCCTAGCCCAGTCCAGATCAAGTCCAAAAGTCTGACATTACTCCATATGTTGATACTAGTCCAGAATTCCTCTTTAGACTCACGCAGCCATGTAATGATGCTGAATGCAGAAAGGTCACAGGCCAGTGGGTGGAAAGTCTTGTGGATCCAGTCGCGGTGGAAACATCTCAGCGCTGGCACATGGCTCTCCACATGGCTCCTCTAGCTCCAGGGCTCTGGCTCCATCAGTGTAGCTCAATGTGGCTTATCAACAGAAATGTCTCACAGGCAGATGAAGCAGAGAGTGTAGGTCTGGCCTCCAGTGAGCTATTTATCTCCATTGCTCCTCCAAATCAGATCATCAAGCTGCAACCTGATTGACAGGCTAGATTCCACTCCTTTGCAAGTTGACAGGTTATGTAACTGCCACATGGTCTTTTTTGGCTTTAAAGGCCAGGGAGATACAACACCCATTTTCCAAGTAACCCACTTCTTGAGATAATGAGCATGTTACAATAAATAAGCATCAATTGTTTTCATATTGGACATGATGTTTGGTGAATTTTAGAAGTGCTAAATAATCAGAATACAGAAAGCCCCTTTTCTTGGAAGTAATGGGGCTGATTAATTTGTCCAGTCAAACTTTGATTAGTAAAAGAAGCTGACATCTCAGTAAGTATGGCTTTGTAGGAGACTCAGCTCTACTTATCGAGTGCTCAGGTTTTCCTACCAGGAAGAGAAACACACAAAGGTCAGCATGGTTGAAAAGTAGCTGTCATGTGAGGGCTGTCCTATACTGGAGTGGAGAAAACCTCAAGGAGGTCAACTAACCGGCAGAGCAGTCTGTCTCAGACCAAAACCAGAATAGATAGTAGCCCCAGATGACAGGCTCCTTGTGAGGCCCACGGTCCAGACAGGTATGGAAGGGTTGCAGGCTGAGGTCTATTCTGATCCAGCACACCATTCAGCAACACATTCACTTTTCCTTCTGTGCTTACTCTCTTCCATGGAGTTTAGTACAATCTTCCATTTGATAAATGTTTATTGAACACTTCTTTGTGCCAGGGTCAATTCCAAGGCTTGGAATGCAGCCAAAGGTAACTGACAAGAATCTCTGCTCTCAGGGAACTTGTAGTCATTCTAATGGAAAGAGCCTGAAAGAGAGAGAGACAGAGAAAGACAGAGAGAGAGAGAGAGAGAATAAACTTAATGATAATAAAAGGAGACAAAGGCTATGGGGAAAAAGTAGAGCAGGGAAAGAAGGTTCAAGAATGTTGGGGAGATGCAATCTTCAATGAAAAGATTACGGCAGGCCTCTGGAGAACTACCTTGCAAATATATGACAATGAGATCATTTCTCTGTGTGTGTGTGTGTGTGTGTGTGTGTCTGTGTGCGCACGCTTGTATTCTATTTACGTTTGTCCCATTTTTGTATCATAGTAAAACTTCAGACTGCTTATGCTTCATACTAGTCACAAAAACTACTCAATGGAGGGAAGAAAATGCAGTGCTGACGCCACGGTGTCAGTCAACCTCCTGGAAGGCTTCCCTCTTCTTCCTGCCCCTCTACTTTACCAAGTGTGATGCCCTTCTCCAGGGACTGGTCTCTCCTGATGACTAGTCTCTCCAAAGTATGTGAGATGAAATCTCACTATCTTTGTTTCTTTCTTTTTTTTTTTAAGTGATAAGGATACAACAACAATAATAATATAAATATAAAAATACAAATAATGAGTGTGTAAGGCCAAGTTGACTAGATAAACAAATCCAGGGAGACTCATATATGTGTAAGAAAGAGCTTTATATCAAGAAGTAATTCTATGTCAAGAAAACATCCTAGTCCAGTCCAGATCAAGTCCATAAGTCCAATACTAGTCCATAAGTTTGATACTAGTCCATAAATACCCTCTTCAGAGTCACAAAGCCACATGCAATGATGCAGAATGCAGGAACATCACAGGTTAGTGGGTGCAGAGTCTTCTGGATCCAATGGAGGTGGAAGCATCACACTGTGTTACATGGCTCACCAGCAGGAAGGTGAAGGCAGAGAGGGGGAGGATCCAAGCACCTCCTTATAAGGTCATGCTCATCATCCTTACCATGAGGCACCACCAGGCTGTGACCTGATTGACAGGCTAGACTCCACCCCTACACTTTTATATCTCCAAGTTGATATGAAATTATGTAACTACCAAAGTGAGTAAGAAAGAAAAAACCGCTGTGAATATCTAAAAGGCCAGGGATGAAATTTTTGTCATGGAAATAACAAGAAATATCTAGAAGAATTTCAGGTTGGGTCAACCCACCAAGTATCAAGTTTGATATAGTATAATCATGATTACAATGATCCTGATATGATAGTAAAGCTGTTTGAGACCCTGGCCTATGGTTAGTGGGGATCTGTCAGTGGCTTAATCTGACTAGATACTCTACAGATGGGTTTTGGGACCCCACTGTCTCCATATCCTTCTACAAATTAGGTGTTAACAATTTCGACTTTGATACTTTCCCCTTTGTCATATTTAAATTTTGTTATTGTCATCTTTGGATCACACAAGCTGGTGTGCTTCTTCCATGTGGACTTAGTTGGTACTTGCTTAGATGGCTGACTGTTTGAATACAAACCTTTAAGACCCAGGCACTATTCCAATTGATACCCAGGCACCACCTGCTTTCTTCACCACATTTTGCTGTAGCACCCTTGTCTTCAGTGATCATTTCAGGAAGGTGAGTATGGAGCAAGGCTATGTTATAAATGATGCTTGGATTGGGGCTAGAGTTCAGTGGGGGACCAGAATCCATCTGCATGTCCCTGGGACATGCATGGCACAGGCTAACTTTGTCAGTCATAGTTATGACAAATTCAAAACCCCATAAGACCAACATCCCAACAACATCCACAAACCAACTAGGAGACAACAAAAGAGAAACTAAAACAAGGAAACTAAAGGCAGGAAAACAAAACCCCATAGAAACAGAAAAGTAAAACTTTGTTAATCACCCCCATGAGGTATAGGCAATTGAACTTGTAACATCATCAATTTTTCCAAAGACTCATCACTCTGGACTGGTTGGTATGAGGAGTCTATGCAAGTACAGTTGAACCGTGAGCCACAGCCCACGAGTTGTTGCTCCACACAGTTCACGCTCTCATTCAATTGGGCTCTGTTTACCCTAAGCATGGGGGTTGGTGCCAGAAAACCTCCAGGATCAGTTCTTCCAAGCTCAAATCCCTACCCAACATATGAAAGCCTGTCATGTCTCTGTGAAGGGGGAATGAAGTACAAAATATATGGTGATTCTAGGACCTTTTCCATTGGACACCTAGCAAGACATGGGTTCGCCTCACGGTACAATGACTGACACTTCCACAGGTTCGGGGTGGCCACTCTCAGCTTCCTCTCCCATCCAAGTACCCCAATCCTCAGTCCAAGGGTGCAGGCAGGGGTCAGTTCATTCTGCCGGGCCTCTATGGTATGTCCTGCTGGTGTAGCTATCCTAGTTTCTAAGGAGCGTTCTGGCTGTCCTTCCAAAAGAGATGTTGGTTCTTTTGGAAGTCCATGGCATTTTCAATATTCTTCTCCAGCACCGCAATTCAAATGCATCGACTCTTCTGCAGTCTTTTTTATTCACTGTCCAACTTTCACATGCCTGCGAGGCCATGGAAAATACTATGGCTTGGGTCAGTCACACCTCAGTTCTTAAAATAGCATCCTTGCTTTTCAGCACTCGAAAGAGGTCTTGTGTAGCAGATTTGCCCATTGCAATGCACCCTGTGATCTCTTGACTGTGGCTTCCATGAGCATTGATTATGGAGCCAAGCAGAACAAAATCCCTGACAATTGAAACCATTGCTAGCCCTATCATGATGTGCTCTATTGGTTCAGTTGTGTGGATTTTTGCTTTCTTTCCATTAACTTGTAATCCATAGGGAAGATTGCAATCCTTGATCTTCATCAGCAAGGGCTTCGAGTCCTCCGCTTTCAGCAAGGTTGTGTCATCTGCATATCACAGATTGTTAACAAGAATTCCTCTCATCCTGATACTGTGTTCTTCTTCATATAGTCCAGTATCTCCGATAATTTGTTCAGCATACAGATTGAATAAGTATGGTGAGAGGATACAACCCTGATGTATATCTGTCTTGATTTTAATCCATACAGTATTCCCTTGTTCTGTTAGTACAACTGCCTCTTGATCCATGTACAGGTCCCATAGGAGCACAATAAAGTGTTCTAGAATTCCCCTTCTTCTCAAGGCTAGCCATAGTTTGTTACGATCCAAACAGTAGAATGCCTTTGTACAGTCAAAGAAGCACAAACAAACATCTTTCTTGTATTCTCTGCTTTTAGCCTATATCCATCTGATATCAGCAATGATACCTCCCTTGTTCCACATCCTCTTCTGAATCCAGTCTGAAATTCTGGCAGCTTCCTATTGATGTACCACTGCAACTATTGTTAAATGATCCCCAGCAAACTTTTACTTGCATGTGATATCAATGATATTGTTCTATAATTTGAACATTCTATTGGGGCACCTACTTTGGAAAGGATACAAACTTTCTGTCAGTTAGCCAATGGCTGTCATCCAAATTTCTTTGCCTAGACTATGGAGTGCTTCTAGTGGTGAAACACCAACAATTGGTATTTTGTGAATTCCTGGAGCCTTGTTTTAGGCTCATGCCTTCTCTGCTACTTGGACTTCTTCAATACAGTCGGTTCTTGATCATATGCTACCTCTTGAAACAGTTGAATGGCAACCAGTTACTTTTGGTACCATGACTCTTGTATTCTTTCCATGTTCTTTTGATCCTTTCTGGACTTTCCAATATGTTGCAAATAGCACCTTTCACCGAGATCTCTGGTAGTGTAGGGGGCTACACACTAGCCTGCTCACCTCAAGACCAACAGTTTGAACCACCAGCTAATATGTGGGAGAAAGATGAGTTTTTGTACTTTCATAAAGATTGACAGCTTCAGAAACCCACAGGGGTAGTTCCAATCTGTCCTACAGTGCTGCTGTGAGCAGGCGTCAACTCAATGGCAGTGAGTGAGTTGGTAATTTTAATTGCCTATTCTAAAATTCAATTCTAGTTGCCTCCTTTTGAATCATTTAAGCCGACATGAATGCTGAAGACAAAGTGGGTATATGAGCAAATGCGGTGAAGAAAGCTGACGGTACCAAGCTGTCAAATTACATAGAATCTGGGGTCCCACATGCTGGAAGATAAATAAGGGGTCATCTAACTGAGAAACAACAAAGCCCACATGGAAGAAGCACACCAGCCTGTGAGATGACAAGGTGTCGAAGGGATCAGGTATCAGGCATCAAAGACCAAAAAAAAAAAAAAAAAAAAAAAAAAAAAAAAAAAAAATCATAGCATTGTGAATGAGGGGGAGTGCAGAGTGGGGACCCAGGGCCCATCTGGGGGAAATTGGACATCCCCTTGCAGAAGGGTTGTGGGGAGGAGACGAGCCCATCAGAATGCAGTGTAGCAATGATGAAATATACAATTTTCCTCTAGTTCTTAAATGCTTCCTCCCCCCCACTATCATGATCCCAATTCTACCTTACATATCTGGCTGGACCCGAGGGTGTACACTGGCACAGATAGGAACTGGAAGTACAGGGAATCCAGGACAGATGAACCCCTCAGGACCAGTGGAGAGACTGGTGATACCAGGAGGGTGGAGGGAAGGTGAGGGAGAAAGGGGGAACAGATGACAAGGTCTACATATAACCTCCTCCCTGGGGGACAGACAGTGGAGAAGAGGGTGAGGGAGACATTGGATGGTGTAAGATATGATAAAATAATAATAATTTATAAATTATCAAGGTTTCAGGGGGAGAAGGGAGCGGGGAGGGAGGGGGAAAAAATGAGGAGCTGATACCAAGGGCTCAAGTAGAAAGCAGGTGCTGTGAGAATGATAATGGCAAAATATGTACTAATGTGCTGGACACAAATGACGTATGTATGGGTTGTGAAGAGTTGTATAAGCCCCTAATAAAATGATTATTTAAAAAATCAGTATACAGTAAAAGAACTGTATATAATTCAAAGCTATAATAATATGTCTTTTTTCTGAGAATATTATTGTTGATTTCCATATTTTATTGATTCATCTTAACTACTCCAGCATATTGAACCAGTATTTCTTTAGAGAATAACATGCAATCTCTCCTTTTCCACCCCACTCTATGTTATTAGCTTACAAGAAAATTAAGATATTTCTGTAAAGGCTGTCCATAAAGAGTTTGGTAGAAACTTTCCTGTCCATTCATTCAGATTTGCTCTTATCTGCACATTTTGAGATTTTGCTGTGCATCTACTCTGTCAGGAATTTGAGAAATGTCGAGCAACATGCATTAATCACTCAGGAGTAGACTGTTTAGGTTTCTCTATACACAGCTCATTTTTACTGGCCTCTTGTTTCTAGGGTCGCTATGGGTCAGAATTGACTCCATGACAGTGAGTTTGTTTTTTTGGATCTTGTTTCTAACCCTAAGTAGTTGCTACTTCTATACAAAACGAGCTTCTTGTCTAATGACAGATAAAACACGTTAAGTCTCCGTTGATTGGAGTGATCAAACCATTGGGACCAACCTCTATAAAGACTCCCTATATTTTCCTAAGTTCCCATTCACTGCCATTAACTGACTGGAATTTCCTCCGCCCAACATCACTCACTGGGCTCATCTCACATCCCATGTAATTCCAGATAAAGCATGGAGGTCAATTTTTTTTTATTACCCTGAGACTGTTCCCAGGATATTAATCATCTGACAGTCAACACTCCTGGGAAGTTCATCCACCTTGCTGTACAACCCTCTTCCTGTCCATGGGTCTCAAATTTGCCCTTCCTCACTGTGAAAAATCTTTGACCACCTGACTCATTCTGTCTGTCTCAAATGCTGTCGTCACTCCAATTCCCATGACAGTAAAGAATAACCGAGTAATGAGGAAGAGTGATAAGTGGTAACGTGAGTCAACTCTTGTGCTTAACGCCATAATCCAGTGAGACCTAGGGGAGAGCATGCCACACAACTTCCTGTTCTCCCAGACCTGGTGAGAGTCCTACCTGCAGCACGCTGTACAGTAGTCGCAACACTTTCCCATTGCTCGTTTTAGTGGAAAATATTTTAGTTTTCCTTTTCTGACAGGTTTCTGCTTTACACCACTTTTCAGCATTCCACATTTTTATTGTACCAGTCTATATTGGAAATTTTAAAAACTAAACTTATTATGCTATTTGTAATTTTATACATACCCAAAGTCCCAAACCAAACCCACTGATGTTGAGTTGATTCTGACTCAGAGCGACTCTCTGAGACAGAGTAGAATAACTCTCATGGGTTTCCAAGACTATCAATCTTTATGGGAGGAGGCAACCTCATTCTTCTTCCAAGGAGCAGCTGGTGAATTTGAACAACCAAAGTAGCAGTTAGCAGCCCAATGCTTAGCCCATAGCAATGTGAAAAGAAATAAAAACAAACAAACAACAAAAAA